CCAGCCTACAGTAGCCATCCCCACTCTCTGTAGAATGAGTGAATAAGAAGAAGGAGCATGGTTTGACCTCACTGTCCCTTCTTATTATCTTTATTGGCCATCCCCAAGCCAACCTTAAGCTAACATATAATCTAAGCAAAAAAAAATAAAAAATAGTATTCTCAGTATGCAAATAGCTGCAAAACAAGTTTGCTATACTCCCCTTCACCACATCCACCACCTTCTCAACAATTTGGCCAAACCCCTCCTCTATAAATATCCTAGAGTCAGCACTACGCAGGCACACAGATGGCCTCCCAGGAAGGTTTGCACTCTCTCCTCAGGCGTACTTTCTCTTAGCATGTGTGTTGTAATTAGTATCTATCTCTTCCTCTGTACTAGGGGGACTTGAAGACAGCAATCAGTCACTTTCTCATCTCTGTATTCTTTCCCTGGCCTCTTCCAATTACCTTCTACTTTTGTGTCCAGCTTTGACTAAATGTGTGAAAAATTTACAGCAAAGCTAGAGATGGGTCCCAGGGCTCTTCTTACCCAAGTTCCAGCTTTATCATAGCTCCCTACCTCCTAGGGCAGCAGTTCTCAACCTGTGGGTCGCGACCGCTTTGGCAGTCGAACGACCCTTTCACAGGGGTTTGCCTAAGACCATCCTGCATATCAGATATTTACATTACGATTCATAACAGTAGCAACATTACAGTTATTAAGCAGCAACGAAAATAATTTTATGGTTGGGTCACAACATGAGGAACTGTATTTAAAGGGCCAGAAGGTTGAGAACCACTGTCCTAGGGTATGTGTGCGGAGGCTAGTTGGTGGCAGGCCCAAAGATATATATTCCTTTTGGTCCCTACACATATCTGAAGCCAGTAAACAACCTCCATAAACGTCCTCTGTGTTCATTTCCTTGCCTCTGCTGACGGTCCTACTGGGCCTGGAAAAGTCAAGGAGTGACTGTCCGACACAGGCTTGCTAGGTCTACCAAGTAAAAATATGGGATGCTCAGCTCCATTTGAATTTTAGACACACAAAAAATAATTTTTAGTGTAAGTTTGTCCCATACAATATTTGTGACAAACTTATACAAACAGCATATTATCTGAAATTGCAATTTAACTCAGTGTCCTGGACTTATCTGGCAAGCACAGTCAGACCACACTCTGCGTGAAGAACCAGCTTAGAACCCAACCCAGCAGGGTTTGTAGAGAACTGGCCTCCTCTGGTTGGCAAACTCCAGAATCCAGCAAAAAGGGGGGCAGCCTGTCAATGGTTCTGAGGGGATCAGGCAGAGCTGTTACTTGCAATAGCATCACAGGACCACAAGGGGACAGCAGAGAAAGCCTTTGCTCACATTCTTGGCAGGAAGGGGGTCCCCCAAAACACCTGACTATCCTTGGATCCCATAAAAAAGGCGCAAAAGCAGACCCATCCAAAGATTCTTATGCCTGAAGCACTGGTCATTTCTTTTATAGCAATCCAGCCTAGAAGTTTAGATCTGGAGCAAACTCTACACATCTTCACCAGATAGCTGCCAGACACCTCCCCGGGGCAAGGAAGAGGAGGCGATATGGAAGAAGTATCTTCCCATTTGAATGGTTAGATTATACTCTCTCCCTTCCAGGGGGAAAATGTCACTTTGTTTAGCAGAATGCTTCACAATATTACTGGAATCCCCTAGCTACAAACAGTAGTTTAGAGCAAGGGTTCTCAAACAGGGGTGATCCCTGACTCCCTCCCCAAGGAACCTGGCAATGTCTGGAGACATTTTTGATTGTTGCAACTGGGGAAAGAGGTACTATTTTATTTCAGTGGCTGGAGGATGGGATGTTGTTAAGCATCTTATATAAGCAGCTTACCATAATAAAGTATTTTCCTGCCCGTCATGTCAACAGTGCCAAGGTAGAGAAACCCCTACTTAGAGGTATAATTATTCATAAGCCATCTTTTAAAAAGGATGCTTCACATTCAAAAGGATGAGAAATGCCCTATACATACATGTTTTCTTACACATCGTTAAACAAATAGGTGAAGCCTTTTAAGCACCCATTGATTAAGTAGCAACACAAAATTATAGAGCAAATCTGCAATTATGACCATATGAAAGGTGTCTGCAGGATTTAGAATGTTTTATTTTGTGGGACAATTATTTATCAAATTGATAAATAGTTCTACATTAGACTGGTGCAGACCTCATTACAAGGTCCCTGGCATACAACCTAGCACATTCTTCATAAACAGATCTCCCCCTCGGGGTTCCCTTCGGCCACCAAGTGAGAATCTCCCACTTCTCTTCTCCCAGTTCCCACCACCTGTGCTCTCCCCCTCCATTCCTGAGCATGTGTGCCTGCCTGTGTGTATGTGTCCACCTGTGTGTGTGTGGATGCTCATGTGTGCCCAGGGTGCACAAGTGGAGTTTTGTATTTGGTTGCTGGGAAACAGGGCAGGATCAAGAGTGTCTGCAGGAGAATTGAGATCAGGATTTTAGAGCAGGGAAGTCCGTAGAAAGAAAACTAGTTTAATCTGTTCATGCAACAGATGGAGAAAGAGGCCTGGAGTCTGAGGTGACTTGTCCTAACAAGTCAGAGGCAGAGCTGGGACGAGCGCCCTATTTGTTATTTCTCTGTCCCCATTCTCAGTGTTAATCAGGGTTTGAAATGGGGTTACAAAAGGCACAGGGGACTGTATGGACCTGCGTGGGTTTCACTGGTTTTGCCACAAGCAGCCTCTCACAGAAGGCATGGGAGGCTGTCATTTGGGAAGGGAAGGGCACGGACAACATGGTGGCTCAGAGTTTGGTTCCAGAATGAATATGGTTCTGACAGGAGGAAATTGACAGCCCCTCTAAGTTCCTGCCATCACGGGAGGTGCCCTTTTACTGTGTGGATTTTGTTTTTACAATAATCCCATGTGTCAAATGTGCTTTTCAGCTTCCAAATCAGCATCTCGCTTATGCTCCCTCTTGCTCCTTACAGCCCTGCCACACAGGCTGAGTAATGCTCTCACTTTTCAGAAAAGGAAATTGAGGCAGCATAGCCGAATCACGGCTGGAGGATCACACAGAGTTAAAGGCAGAATGCTTCACCAAGAACCTAGCCTTAGGCGCTCACCACTAAATTATGTGGTTCTTCAAGTTTTATGACTCTTCCCAGGGGGAGGGGGCAGTCCAGAGCAGTGACCACAGATGAAGGAAACTGCAACCACGTTTGGGGAGGAGACACGCACTGGCCACTCATGGATCACCTCCCTCTAGGTCAAGTTCTTGACAACGGAATGAGGTTCAAGCTTCCAGGAAAGTGGCTGTTTCCAGACTTGGACTTGGGCCACCTTTCTAATCTGCCAGAACTCCGCCAAGCACGTCGGTAGCCCCGGTAGCCCCGTGTGCCTGCGAGGATGCATGTGTGTGTGTTTACTGAGGCAGGGAGTCCGGAAATGCTGGGAAGTCCCAGGGCTTGCTTTTCATGGACACGTCAGTTCACATATATTTACAGGTGTCTATCTAAACAGAGGAGAACCTTCAGTGTTCATTGCCTTCCCGAAAACTAGTGGGAGGGCGACTGTGCCAGCAAGGGGGCCAGGTGTAAGGCTCAGGTTAGACAGCCTCTGGAAGCTGCCCAGCACACCCCACAACAGCTGAAATCAGACACCATAGCGTCCTCCTCTATGCTCCATGGCTCTGTCCACACCCTTTTCAGTAGCTCACCAAGCATTGACAAGTAGATGCATATTGGTGTATTTCATCCATGAGAATCTGAGCTCCCAGAGAGCAGGGAAGGTGCCATGTTCATTGTCTAAAAACCTAGCAGAGTAGTTTCTGCTCAATGAATGTTTAGGGCACTGAATGTCAGGAAAGACAACTCAAGGCCCAGGGAGAGACAGTTCAGGAGAAAGGAGAGAGTTCAGCTTGAATGGCAACGACAGGGATTCACCCAGAGTGGGCTGCATGACTGAGATACAAGAAAAGCCCACCGTGCCTGGCTGGTGTGGTTCAGTGGTTGAGCATCAACCTATGAACCAGGAGATCTCAGTTCAATTCCCGGTCAGGGCACATGCCCGGGTGGCAGGCTCGATCCCCAGTGTGGGGTGTGCAGGAGGCAGCCAATCAGTGATTCTCTCTCATCATTGATGTTTCTATCACTCTCTCTCCCTCTCCTTCTTTCTTCCTCTCTGAAATCAAGACATATATATATATATTTTTTTTTTTTAATTTTTTTTTAAAGCCCACTGAGAAGAATGCTGGGTTCCCTGTCAGCCTGAAGAGATCAGAAAGCCCTCCCTCCTCACTGGACCATGCTACACCCTGTGGAATTCCCTCTGAGCCCTGGGCACAGATCCCCAAGGTCACTGCTTGCTTTCTCTGGGCCTGCCTCCTTCACAGGGAATAAAGCCCTCCCTCCCAAGTTAGATCAGGGACTCTGAGATAAGATGGGTGCTGGTAACATTTTTGGCTACTTTCTTCCATCAGTGCACCCCCTGACCTGACTGAATTGTCCTCGTGTCCATGGATGTCTGGTATTTATCTAATTACCTGCATCTCCCCTTAGGCTAGGTGACTGCACAGCCTCATCCTCTCCCCTTCCTGGTTATTTCAGGGCCACCCAGAGGACAGTCAATACTCCTGGCTCCTGGTTGGGAAGACGAGGGCCAAGGAGCTGTGGAATGAGGCAGGGAGATCAGGAATGGAGGGGAACCCCTCACAGTGGTGACATCAGACCTTTCTAGTCTGAGATTCAGGAGGAGGCCCCCAGATGGTTTTAAGAAGAAATAGAACAGAAAGGACAAGTGGAAGCAGCCCTCTCACAGCCAGGCTGTGGTCCTTCAGAGACTCTGTCTGTGCCTCGCTTGGGCACACAGGGAACTTCCGCCACTCCTTCCGAAACCCCAGGCCTCTCTGAGCTCTGTGTCTGGCTCCCCAGCCCTGGGGTCCTAAGAGTGGGAAGGGGATGAGTGGGACCAGTGATGGCCTCATCTGCAACAACACCACCATTCTGTTGCCTCAAGATGTCATCAGCCAAACATGTGCTAAGCCCCAACTCTCCCAGGCCTGGGGGACAGAGGTGGGTGGCTGATGTGAGAGATGGGAAGCCAAAACTGGAAAAAAGGGGGCTCATCCCAGCCCAGAATCCTTGAGCTAAAGAAGAAAACCCACAGAGGCTCTATGTGACCTCTTAGCCTTCTCCCTCCTGGTCAGGCTCAGGCAAGCCCCTCTATTTGCATATGGATGCAAAAAAGTTTATGCTTTTCCCTATGAATAGACATATTATCTGCCTTCTGAGGAGCTCAGGGAAACCCCAACAGGAGGATTTCCTTCAGGCATGCCACTGCCTGGGTGGGGCGGTCCATGTAGACTTTGGAAGACTACACACTGGGATGACTTCAAGCTTCCTCCATGTCCCCAGCTCCCAACTCTAAGCTGCCAGGGATGATGGGTGGGGACATTTTCAGGGGCTGGAAGCAACAAGTAAAATTTCTTTAGGGCTCAAAATCTAGAGCAGGGGTCCTCAAACTTTTTAAACAGGGGGCCAGTTCACTGTCCCTCAGACCGTTGGAGGGCCGGACTATAGTTTAAAAAAAAAAAAACTATGAACAAATTCCTATGCACACTGCACATATCTTATTTTGAAGTAAAAAAACAAAACGGGAACAAATACAATATTTGTATTTGCATGTGGCCCGCGGGCCGTAGTTTGAGGACCCCTGCTCTAGAGCCTCTCAAATTCCACAATCTGGATGAGGGAGTGGGTGAGCATGGGTCCTAAGTATGTTTTGGCCAGTTTCCAGTGCCCTCTCCCCCAGTAGAAAATCATGGATTCTAGGCTGGGTCCCAGCTGTTCATCTTCAGACCCTCCCATCAATGGCTGATGCAGTAAATGCACAGGAATGATAACCATGATCACATTTGGGCTTTTTGGGGGGTTCCTAGGGTCTGCAGATCCTCTCATTCATTCATTCATTCATTCATTCATTCCCATATGCCTACGTATGTGTGCTATACCTGAGAGACTGTTCAAGGGGCAGGAAGTAGAGATATAAGGCATTGCTCTGACCCACCGGCACACCTCTAGTGGATGTCACAATCTCTCCAAGACCCAGCAAGTTGCCTGGCCATGAGGAAAGTACAGCGGACCCTTGAACACCGTGGGTTGGAACTATGGGGATCCACCTATAAGCAGATTTTTTTTCCAATGGACCCACTCAGTTCAATTGACAAGCGCAGCTCAATTGACCCTGGCAGCTGAAACCCACATTGCTCAAGGGTCAATTGGCAGTTAAGAATCCTTGTACGTGGAGGGTCGACATCAGTTATTCATGGCTTTTTGGCTACACCTTTCAGCTCCCCTAAACCCCACATCATTCAAGCATCAGCTGAACTCCCAAGAAGCTGCCTAACTGACTTGGATCTTACAGATAGTGAGACCTGTGTGCACGCCAGCCCTCCTCTTCCACCTGGAGCCCTGAGGCCCCACAGGCCGAGACTCTTGAGACAAAATGCTCCCAAGGGGCCAGGCATGGAGTACAGTCTGTCCAGACAGAGGTGCCAAACAAAGACAGAGAATGAGGAGGGGGAGGGGGGCTGAGAAAAGGGGAAGGAGGTGAGGGACACCTGGGGGGCGGCAGCAGCAGGTGGAGGCTTACCTCTTCTGCTGCAGCAGGTTCTGCTCATCTCGGCTCTGAGCCCAGGACTCCTGTCTCTGGAACCATCTGCAGAACTTTCTCCACAGGCAGAGAATGAGGCCCGTCTTCTTGGGCAGTGGCAACCCCATGTCGTGTAAGACAGGCTCCTTGTAGGGCTGAGGCAGAGACCAGACCCCGACTGAACTCCGCCTTGGAGCCACATTGGTCTCCCCAAGGGCCGGCCTGCCCTCTCCCTGCAGCGGTCCCATCTCCTACCTCCCTGGCCCGCACAGGAGTCTCGGGGAGGCGCCCCAGCCAGACTGCAGAGGGCTCTGAGTTTGTTACTCTTGGCAGAGCTGGGCCTCCCTCATTGGGCTCCTCAGGCAGGAGCTCCTCAAAGCGCAAACTCCCTCCCTCCTCCCAAATTACCTGAGATTTAAAGAGACAGGCCAGCAGCCCTGCCTGCCACCTGGGGCCTTGCGTAAACTCCTTCACCTTGGTCTGGCTCCCTGCCCCCAGGCCAGTCCAGGGAAGGGAGCCCTTCATAGAGACTGGATTGACCTCCCTTGGACTTTGGGACACCTGCTCACCTTTTATAGAAAGGTTTGGGAGGGTCAAACTAGGCTGAGAGACTCAGGCAGTGAAGGAGGAGGGAGGGGTCAGGCAGGCCTTTGGGGGTTGAGGGCCTCTCAAGTGAGCAAGGGAGTGAGCCCACCTTTCTCACAGGTCCTGTCCTTCTGCTTCCCCCCACCTTTTCCTGTGTGTCCATGCTGGGGACTTAGCTTTTCTTGACTCTTCCGATTTAATCTCCCACCAGCCTAGAATAGGTATACAGTATTGAGAACTCTTAGTCTCCTCACCTACTGGGGGTCAGAAAACTGTTCCTGTAAAGGGCCAAGAGAGTAAAGGCAAATATTTTAGACTTTCAAGCCCCAGAATACAGTCTCTGATCACATTCTTTTTCTTCTTCTTCTTCTTTTATTTTTTTTTTTACAGCCCCTTTAAGATGTAAAATCCATTCTGGGTTCATGAACTCAGACACAACATGGAGTTGTGGCAGGACCTGGCCCCTGCACAGAGTTTGCAGCCCCCACTCTGGACCTCAAGACCCTCCCCAACACGACATATATGTAGTGGGGTGCCACATAAAATACAGGATGCCAGTTCAAGTGGAATTTCAGATAACTTTTTTTTAGTGTAAACGTGCCCAAGTATTGCAAATTCTTTCTCTGGCAACCTCCAGCGGACACAGTGTTTATTCACCTGCTCGCTATTGTCTGCTAAGCCCTTAGCTAAGTGGTCCCAGGTAGGCTTGTGTCATACCTATGAGGGGTGTTTATTACCTGCATTATACCAATGGGGGGAAAGCAAAGCTCCAAGCGGCAAAGTAGATCACCCAGGGCCACACAGCCATTCAGTGACCGAGGCCAGATTCAGACCCACTGGCTTGATGCAGAAGCCACATCTATCTACCCTACCACAGTCCCTCGTTCCAACTGAGTTCCAGGAGGGAAAGGAAGCTACAGTCACAGTGATGAAGGATTGCAGAGAGCACAGCCCATCCTAGTCCCACACACAGAACTCTGCCATGTGTGAGCCGGGAGCCATTGTGAAGATCGGTTACTTCAATTTTTATGTTGGGAATAAACAGAGGCCGTGGCATATGCAAAGTCCCACAGCGACCCAAAGACCCACTGGCCTGGCACCTGGGTACTCAGAGTCCCAGGTGTGTGGGAGCCACCCACTAGCTCCAGAGTTTGTTTTTTTTCTATGTATTCCTGGTAGAGAGAGAGAGAGAGAGAGAGAGAGAGAGAGAGAGAGAGAGGCAGAGAGAGAGGGGATGTATGGGGAGAAGCACAGCTTAGGTGCAGGGCAGGGTATCTCCATGGGCGGGTGGAGGAAGGTCACTCTCAAAATGAAAGGGAAGCAAGGCTCCTGCCGTTGGCCCAGGGCCAGGCCAGAGCGCCCTGAGCAAACAGTGCCATTCGATTAGCTGCCTTCCCCACCCATCCAGGGTCAGCGGGTTCGGGCTGGGTGGGGGGAAGGCACTAGAACCCAAACCTTGAACCCAGGAACTTTGTGCCCATTAAGCCTGTGTTTGTCTGCCTGATGACCCACCCACCTTCTCTGTCCTGCTGGGCTCCAGCCAAAGCCCCCAGTGCAGTCCTGTTTGGGGAGAGGACAAGGCAATGCCGTGTTTGCATATGGGGGAGGAAGGCTACAGGAGGAATCAGTCATTCCAGACTTCTTTTTCCTCCTCCACCTGGCGCTGCCTTGTATGGGTCACCAGGACAAATGGGAAATTGCAAACAGACTAAAAATTGGTGTGGAGGGCTAGAGGGGAGGGGGCAGTTTACCAGATACTAGCTTCTACCAACAGTGCCCTCTCACCTCTTAGACCCAACATTATATGTTTGGACAGTGGGCAAAGGTGGGCCACCGGGTGGGTGACACTACCTACATGGGTCCTCTCACATCTTAAAGCCACATTCCCTGTACCCTCCTGGGATTATGGATTTTGAGGGGATAGGGAGCTTTACTGGAGTGTGACCCACTCTGAGGAGTATGGCAGGCTACCCTGGCTCATGCCAAGCCATGCTGGGCAGCACCTCCCAACAGAGAAAACTCAGTTGGCTCTGCAGCCCAGAGTCCCAGGCTCGAGGTCCAAATACAGGAGGCTGTAGGTGCAGGGGCTGAGGGGGAGGATGGGACGGTCACATTTGCTAGCCTCATCTGGTGAGACTTGCCATCACACCCTCTCCAAGTCCCCTTGCCCAGACTCAAAATTTAAGAAAACTTTTATGACTACGGGCAAGGCATTGTCCCTCTCGATGGTCCCATCTATAAAGATGAGCATACGACTTGTGGTGGCGGTCATCCAGTCTGCCCTGACCTCATGGCAGTCAGTCTCCAACCTAGTTTTAGAGGAATGAAGAGGTCAGGGGCCCTGGGGGAGGGAGGACTGGAGAGTCAATGTTGACTGGATCTGAAACAGGTTCTTCCTGCCTCAGGCTGAGCTTGAACTCTAAGCAAAAGTTAGGTCCTCAGGATTCAATGAAGGAGCCTGGGGGGAGGGTCAACCAGAGTCTGACCAGCCTCCTCTGAGGGCCACACTAGCATGGGCTGAAGGGGATCAGAGAGATGACATGTGTTGGTACAAACAGGGCTGGGGCACAGCCGGACTGGGGCTGAGAAGTTGCCTACTGATTCCTGCATTTGGGGCACCGTTTCTCATCCTGGACACTATTGATACCTTGGAACAGAAAGCTCTGTAGTGTGGGGTTTGCCAGCATTGTAGGATGTTTAGCTGCCATTCACTGGGTGACAGGAGCATTCCCTTGGCTCAGGGGTGACAATCAAGAATGTCTTCAGACATTGACTATTGGCCCCTGGAGGGCAAAATCACTCTCCATTGAGAAACACTGATTTAGGGCAAACAAGTGTATTCATATATTTTGTTCTGGTTTTGTCCCTCTTTTCATTTGTTCTATGTCTTTGTTTCTCTGTTTTTTTCTTGCTCAGGCTTCTGTCTCTGCAATTGTATCTGCTCCCCTGGTCTTAGTCTCTGAGCTGGCGCATGTGGGATTTCTGTGGTTGTGGTGTGTGAGGTGGCAGGGGTATGCGTGTGAAGTGTGTGTGTGTGTGTGTGTGTGTGTGTGTGTGTGGCGTGTGTGGTGTGTGATGGATGCTGTGTGTGTGGTTGTGATGTGTGATATAGTGGGGCGGGGGGGGGGTGTCTGTGTCCAGGGCTCTGAATGGTCTCTCTGTGGAGCCCTGGGTTTCTTTGTCTTTTCTCTCCTCTCTGCCTCTTTGTTTCCTGTGCAGTTTACTACGTCATCCCATTCCTGCTCCCCACACCCTCTCTGAGGGTGACCCTTAGCTCTGTTGTCAAGAGAGAGCAGGCCGGGCAGGCCAAGGGGCTGTGATGACAGAGCTGGCTCGGGGCAGTGAGGTCACAGCCACTGCTCACTCAGCCTGTAGTTTGTTCTAATGATTTTTTTTTATTATTGATTTCAGAGAGGAAGGGAGAGGAAGAGAGAGAGAGAAACATCAATGATGAGAGGGAATCATTGATTGGCTGCCTCTTGCATGCCCCCTACTGGGGATTGAGCCTGTAACCTGGGCATGTGCCCTTGACCAGAATCAAACCCGGGACCCTTAAGTCCGCAAACCGACACTGTATACACTGAGCCAAACCAGCTAAAGCTGGAGTTTGTTCTAGTCTCGGGGTTCACACACCTGTGTGCCAGCTCATAAAGCCTGTCCAGGAGCAATGTCAGATCGGCAGAGAGTGTGCACACACACATGCAGGCATATACACTCACATGCGGGTCACCGTACTGCCCAGGGCCTCGGGCGGATGGTGACTGGAACTCCTGGGCCCGTGGCCACCTGGATGGCAGCTGGTGTGAGAACTCTCGACGCTCCTTTTCAGCTCAAACACCTGTGGTGCTAAGGACTGCAAGTCACAGTGGCCCCTGGTGCACACAGGCACCTCAGCTGCCAGAGGCCAGGGGTCTAAACTGTTGCAAAACTCTCATGCCCTTTCCCCCCAAATGCGACCTTAGTCCCTGCCCCCTGTCCTCACCCAGGTGGGAACTGTACTCCAGCCTTTTGCCCTCATCATCTTCTACAGCCTCTCCATAGCTGTCCCTGAGCCTGCCTGAGTGCTCACACCACGGGGGGCACTGCCTAGCAGCTTCAGGCCCTCCAGGCTTTTTTCTTTTTCTTTTTTATATATATATATTTTATTGATTTTTTACAGAGAGGAAGGGAGAGGGATAGAGAGTTAGAAACATCGATGAGAGAGAAACATCGATCAGCTGCCTCCTGCACACTCCCTACTGGGGATGTGCCTGCAACCAAGGTACATGCCCTTGACCGGAATCGAACCGGGGACGCTTGAGTCCGCAGGCTGACGCTCTATTCACTGAGCCAAACTGGTTACGGCTTCTTTTTCTTTTCTTTTTTTCACCAATTGTTAATGCAGGTTTTTATTTGGCTGTCTATACAATTTAAGCTATTAAAATTTATACAAATATTTACAAATTAAATAATCATCTGAAACTCTCCAGCAATGCACGTAACACAAAACCAAGGGGCGGGGAACAGGGACAGGCAGGCCTTGGCTCCTGTGTTCCCTACCTGCCCAGAGCCTTTTCTAAACTGGAAAGACCAGGAATCTGGCACTCCTGCTCCTCTTTTCTGGGGTCAAGCATTAAAATTCAAAGACAAACTTAAGCCAAAGAAAATAGCAAGGAAGTTACTCCAACTCTTCTAAATTTAGGAAAAGTTCTGTAAGTTGAGAAGTGGTCTTCCGTAGATTCTGGGGCTTGCAGTGGTTCCGGAGCAGAC